AGTGTCCTCCAGTGTCCATGGCACTTGCCAGGCCAGGTTCCTCAAAACCATTAGTGCCCCAGAAAACCTTGTCTGCAGATGAGCTCAGCCCAGCTTATTGCTAAATCGACAGTCAGTCTTGCAAGGCCACCGGCCGGCCCTTCACACCTGAGCAGCCCTTTTTCATGCGGTCATGACAGGCATGGCAGTGCTGACTGATTCTCTTCACAGATGGATAATCTGAGGCCCAGGTTGGAGGAAGGAGCTACTGTTTACCTGGCTCCTTTGGAGGGCTCTACTCACTCTGGAAGCTTAAGTTGCGTTATCCGAAGGGGGGAGGGGTTATGGAGCATTTGCTCTGTCCCAGGCCCTCCCCTGCAAGAGCAGGAAGAGCCTGAGGACCCAGGGCATGGCCTAGGGCACTAGCCAGTGCGGCAGAGTGGGGGTGGGCGGGTGGGGCTGTGCTGCAATCAGGGCTACTCAGCCAGTGGAACCTAGTGTTGCCACAGCTTCCAGCATTCACGAAAACGTAGACATTCAGACTTCTTTAGTCTTAGTAAAATGTACATAACCATTTTTAGTAAAATGACCTACCGTTTTAACCATTTTAAGTGTACAGTGCGTGGCATTAAGTATAGTCACAATGTTATGCAACCATCACCGCCCTCATCACCTGGATTTTCCCCCTTCCCAGCCTGAAACTCTGTCTCTATTATACACTCGCTCCCCTTTTCCTTCCCTCAACCGCTGGTAACCACTAACCTGATTTCTGTTTTTATGAGCTTGATGACTCTAGGGACCTCATAGGACTGCAATCATATAGTATTTGTCCTTTTGTGTCTGGTTTATTTCATTGAGCACAGTGGTCTCGAGGCTCGCTGCTGTTGTAGCATGTTTCAGTACTTCATTACTTTTTATGGCTGAATGTTATTCAGTTGTATAGATGAACCACATTTTGTTTATCTGTTCATCCATCAGCTGACACTTGGGTTGTTCCCACTTTCCGGCTATTATGAATAGTGCTGCATTAACATGGGTGTACAAATACTGTTTGAGCAGGGACTCAAACGGATACTTGTACACTCTTGTTCCCAGCAGCACTGGTCAAAATTCAGACTTTAAAAAAAAATGGGGATTCGCCCAGTTGAGAAAAACAAACAACACTGCAGGTCTAACAAAACCCACTGGAGGACTGGATTCCACACCTGTTTTGCAACTCTGGTCTCAGAACACACTGAACACACTGCTAGAACCAAGAGGAAAGGGACTACCTGAGGCCAAGAGGCTTACCTGGAGTGCAGGGTGGGCTCACAACATCATGGAGGGCTCGCCTTCCCCAAGCAGAGTCGGTCCCCCTTAGCCACTGTGCCTCTCTTTTGCCATTGGCTCGATCCGCCAATCCCACCCACCCAAGCCGTTCCTGGGGCTGGAATGGTCAGTGATGGCACCCACAACTCTCAGCCCCTTTCCTGCAAGTCTCAGCTCAAAATGAGCACTGCCTTAGGTTCCTGATCTGAGACTGCAACCTCCCCATCCCCCATCCCCACCTCCCATTCCCCGCCCCCTTCCTGTCCTAACACCCTCCCTGTTTTGGTTTTCCCCCTGGACCTTATCATCATCTATCAGACTAAATGATTTACTGTGTTGATTGTTCCCTCCAGCATCCCTGCCACGAGGGCAGGATCACTGGTGCTTTGTTCACTGCTGTGCCTCCAGCTCCTAGGGCAGTGCCTGGCATGCAATAGGTACTCGGTAGGTTTTGGCTGATGATGAATGGATACCCCTGTTCATCTCTCTGCCCTGACCTTGATGCCCACGTCTGAAATGCTGCTGGTGAGTCACTTCTCTGGGTTGAGCATTGCCAGCTCAGGCTGCTGTTTCATGTAAGGCCTCTGCGGCCCTGTCTTGTCATCTCTATCTCATTCTAGATTCATCAATGGCCCTGAGATGGCCTGGCAGGGACATGGGAAGGTGGGTGGCAGGGTAGGGAGTCTATCCATCTCATGTCCCGGTGGGGAGATGCCCAGCCACAGTGCCTGGTGTGGGTCCGGCATATGGTAGGAACTCAATCGATATTTTGTTTAGTAACTATTGAGTCATGACAGGGTCTCCACCCCCTGGGAATCAGGCAGCTGGTTTCTGGGGCCCTTGCCCAGGACTTGTGCAAGGAAGTTTTCATTGGCTGCTCAGAATTTCCTCTGGCTCCCACTGGGCCCTGCTCCTTAGCGCCCTTTTCCTGGCCACCCCATCTCAAGGACAGAAACACCCTGAGGTACATGCCTGCCCCTTGGGTCACTTGGACAGTGACCCACTTCTCATGAAAGGCAGAAAAAGCTGGAACAAAGAGGATACTGGAGAGGCAAGAGGCTGGAGCATCAGTCCCCAGTGGAATCATCCAGACTCACCTCTTCCACATTCATTTATTAATTCAACAAACATCCACTGAGGCTCCGCGTGCACCAGGCAACAACCTAAGATCTGAGGATCCATGGGGAGCTTCCTCAAACTGCCCCTCCCCTCAGGGAATTGCAGCACACAGCACCCAACTTCAGGGAGGACCTCCAGTGTCCATGCCCACTGTTGCTCCTTTTCTGTCTCTCCCTCTCCAGTCCCATGGCCCCTGTGCCCACCCCCATAACACCTCACTGCCATTCCTTGTTCACCTGCCTTCCACCCCCAGGGAGATGTGTGTTGCCCGAGGATAAGACCTGTGTCTTATTCACCATTGTGTCCTGGTGCCCAGCATAGGGCCTGGCATACAGCAGGTACCAAATAAATGCTTGTTACATGAACTGGGGAGGCCAACCACTTCAGTTCCAGGAAGGGAGTGGGTCAGGGAAGCATGAAGGGCATGGCCTGCCATAGATGTGCATAGAGTGCAAAGGTGGACCCAGGAGAGTGAGCAAGTGAGGGGGGCACCCTCACCCCACCTAGGAAATTTCCGCTCAGTTGCTGAGGGGGCCCTACAGAAACCGCCCCTCATCTTGGCCGCTCTATGTGGGTGTTTTCCTGCCTGCAGTCCCTCCGCATCCCAGTCCCGGGACAGAGAATAATGCATCAGCCGGGGGCTGTTCAAGGTTCCTGTGCCCCATCTATGGCTTGTTTTTAGGTGGTGTGGGATGGGGCTCGCCCCTACAGTGTAACCTGAGTTGCCTCAGGCCCCCCAGTCGAAGCAGGGCCAGTAAGTCACATCATGATCCTTTTTGGTACTGACAGTCTCCAGCGGAGCCTGCCTATTGCAGGATCTCAGAACCCTGCCACCACCGAAACCCTACCAGCACCAGGAGGTGGGCAGCAAGGACGTTCACCGTGGGGCAGGCTCTGGGGGCAGAACACGCTGACTAAGCTGGGGTCTGCCCAGCGGAGGGTGCGCTGGGAATCTGCCGCAGCAGGCCCCGGCCCTTCCCTGCTCCCTGTCCCTCTGCACTCCAGCCCCAGAGTCACCCAGCATTCCTTCTTTCCTCCAAGCCCTGATGCCAGGTAGCCCCCGTGCCAACCCTCTCCCCATGCCTCTGCAGGGCCAACTCCATCTTACTCTCCAGGCATTTGTTTCAAGGTCCTTCTTTCCTGGACAGCCTCTTCTGGTCTCCTGAGTCTCCCACCTACCCTCAGGTATGAGCCCCGGTGACAATTATCCATCCACTGGACTGAGGTCCCTTAGGTTCCACTGAGTTTAGTGCAGTCACCTGCCTCCTGTCTCAGGGCTCAAATCCAGGCTCAACACTCACCAGCTGAGGTACCTTGGGCAAGTCATTAACTTCTCTAAGTGGCCTCAGTTTCCTCATCAGCAGAATGGGATAATAATAAGGAAATGTGAGGTTAAATGAGGTGATACCTAGCACACTAAAAACTGTCAGTTGTTATTGTTATTTCTCCTGACCCCTCCCTAGGCGTAACAAGGGCCCAGCTTGAGGTTTGTTGATTGAGTGAGAGAAGGGAAAAAGATACATATCTGTTTCAAAGCCTGCTCTTCCTGCTTGGAGTGGGGGTGTCAAGAGTGTGGGCTCTGAGCCGGGGAAGACCTGACCTCAGGATGGGGTTCTCAGAATTAGGAGGGCAGGCTCCACAGGAGGAGCAGGGAGCGCCTAGGGTCCAACACCTGATGAGGCCTCCTCCAACAATTGCAGCCCAGAGGCCCTTTGACTCCGGTAGGGGGGTTCTTCTAGGAGCTCAGGGGTGAGGTAGGGTGAGGGAGACCCGACTGCCCAGCCCTTCCCCGACAGCCTCATAAGTCATAGCCACCAGAGCACCTGGCTGGCCCCGCCCACACGGGCTTCCTGGGAGTGAAGGTAAAGGGTGAGCAGGGTGAGTCCTTGGGCTTCTGAGTGACAGGACCCACAGGAAGGTGGCCCCAGGACTGGTGGCCACTGGGGGCCTGATTCATGGCTTTCCAGTAAGTGGGTTAACGGGAACCCAGAGTCCTGGGCTGGTCCAGGCCTCCTGGCTGAGTCAGGGCAGCTGGTCGCTGGAGGCAGTAGCTTTATGGAATCTCTGGGCAGCCCCCTTGCCAGCCCCCGTCTCCCCAAAGCCCTGGGGCCTCTCCAACACCTCATACCTGAGCCTCCTGCTACTGAGGACTCAGGCCCTGGGTCTGAGCGCCTGCCCTTCCCCACCTGGACCCCCTTCCTTTCACGCTGTGAGGACCTTTCTCTGCACCCCCCAACTCCTTAGTCAATGCCAAGGCCACGGTCCGATTCCCCTCGACTGCCCTCGTGAGGCCGGATCCTGGGCCCACAGCTGGAGCTTCCTATCCAGAGCCTGAGTCCATTGGTCCACCCCAAAGCCGGGGTCTCAGCTAGAGCCCCCCAGTTCCCGTTAAGGCTCATTTCCTCCTGACAGCCCCACCCGCTCTGGTGACCCACAGCCTCAGGTGTCAGGGACTGAGCCACTCACTGGGGGGACTGGTCTGACAGCATTCCGCCTCCCAGGATAAAAACCGGGGTGACCTGCAGGGAACTCTGCACACTCCTGGTGGCCAGCACAGCACAGCTCACTAGGCTGTGACCCCACCCCCACCTGACATGTTTGTTTCCAGAAACCCCCCAGTCTTGGGTAGGGGCTGTCTCGGAATCTTAACCTCCCTGATGCTTCTGGCTTCTCCAGGTGAGTCCTCAGGACCTTCTGCTCCTCCCTATTTTATTCCCTCCCTCACCACCCCTCCAGGATCGCCTCCTCCTCCCTTTCGACTCAGCTGCCTTCCTACCTGAATCCAGTCTCCTCCTTTGCGCTCTCTCTCTCTCACCAATCCCCTGCCGCCCCTCCGCACCGGTCTCCCTCTCCCTCCTGTGACTTGACTGTGCCACACCTCACTTCTCCACGGCCATGAGGATTAAATGAAACACTGCAGGCAGGTACTAAGAAGGCTCATATGCTTCCGCTTTGGTAGTTATTTTTAATCAAATTCATCGTTATCATCATCTCCCTCCCTCCTGTTTCTTCGGTCTTCTGGGGCAGCAGCTTCCAGGCCTTGGCCTTGGGGTGACAGGTAAAGGGAGTCTTGGGTCACTGCTCAGACTTGATGGAGGAAGCCTGAGCGGGTCAGCTGTGTGTCCACTCTCGGTGACAGACATCCCAGGAGTTGGTTCCTCATCCCCCAGAAGGTGGGGTGGATCCTTGGGCACAAGCTGGAAAAAGCTGATGGGAGAGGTAAGACTGAGCTTTTAATGAGAACATGAGGATTCTGTCCACCCTACCCAGGCTCCAGGAGGTGCCCTAGCTGGGAAGGCCTGGAGGGACCTGGGAGTGAGGCCAGAGAGGGTCAGTAGGCATGGGGGGAGGGTATCCTCTCCTCTGGACACTGGGGGACCCTTCTCTCCACTGGACACTGGGAGGCTCCTCTCCACTGGGCACTGAGGGGCCACTCCACTGGCCTGACCCTTTCCTTCTCTTGTCCTTAGCCATCCTCAATGCTGCCAAGACACCTGGTGAGTAAGAGCAGTTCTGAGAGAAGGGGGAATGGAGGAAGCCTGAGGGGGAGTCTGTGTGTCTATCTTCGGGGGCCAGGTGAGAAGGAGGAAGTGAGGCAAGATGGGGTTGAGCTAGAGAGTAGACAGGAAAGCAGGCCCAGAGGGCAGAACGGAGACTGGGATGTGGAGGAGAGAGAACCAAGTGCAGCCAGAGCTCAGAAGGGCACATGGCTGAGAAGGTAAAAGGAACAGAGTTATGGGCAAGGTTGAACCAACTGGAGGGGAAAGGCCAGCCAAAAGGGAAGGCAGAGAAAGGGCAGATCAGGGAAGAAATAGCAAAGGAGGGGGTACAGGCAGGATAGAAGGGCAGAGGGAGAGGCAGTAGAGCACAGGTCTAAGTATTGGAGGTGGGTACAGGGCAGATGGAAGGGAAAGGGGACCATGCTGAGAGGATGATGGAAAACTGGACCCTCCTCCACTGTCCCCCCAGCCTGTGGGAAGCCCCAGCAGCTGAACCGGATCGTGGGTGGTGAAGACAGCACCGATGCCCAGTGGCCCTGGGTTGTGAGCATCCAGAAGAACGGGACCCACCACTGCGCAGGCTCCCTGCTCACCAGCCGCTGGGTGGTCACCGCTGCCCACTGCTTCAAGGGGTATGACAGCCAGTCTCTTCCACTCGTATCCCCAGCTTTCTGCCTCACACCTGGGCTCCTCACACAGCTTAGGCTGCCAGGCCCTGGTCCAGTCTGGGGTCCCTCAAGAGGGACCCTGCTCCTTCCCTCTTTTGCTTTCCCCCCCCCTTTTTTGCTTCTTTTGCTTTTGTGGGGACTTCTTGTGTGTACTCTTCCCCTCCTAGGTCTTTCCTGACCATCTCTGGTTCCTGGCTGACCCCATCCCCTTTGCTCTTCTTCCAGCACTCTGAACAAGCCATTCCAGTTCTCTGTGCTGCTGGGTGCCTGGCAGCTGGGGAATCCTGGCCCAAGGTCCCAGGAGGTGGGCATTGCCTGGGTGCATCCCCACCCTGTGTACTCCTGGAAGGAGGGTTCCCGTGCGGACATCGCCGTGGTGCGCCTCGAGCACCCCATCCGGTTTTCTGAGCGAATCCTTCCCATCTGCCTGCCTGATTCCTCTGTCCATCTGTCTCCGAACACAGACTGCTGGATTGCAGGCTGGGGCAGTGTCCGTGATGGAGGTGCGCTTCTTCCCCGCCAGGTGGTTGGGGATAGATAAGGACAGAGGATGGTGGGCACTAAGAAATGGAGGTGCCATTGCAGCAAAGTGTAGAGGCCAAAAGCATAACATGACAGAAACAGACAAAAAGATGGACTGTGTCTAAAGATGTGATATCACAGCTTTATGTTGTGAAGACTAGGTGGACAATTTCAGGTCATTTCTCATTAAAAGGTATCTTTGGCTGTGTTCTGAGGCAACAACAGCCATATCAACGAAGCTATTAAGTGATCTAGCAATGGCTGAATGGAGGTAAATGTGGGAGCAAGCTGAATACCATAAATACACAGACAACCCTAAGATTCCAAAGTGGGAACAGGCACCCCTGGTGGCAACATGCTATAATTGCAGGCAAAATTCCCAGAAAGTAATACAGTCTCCCTAACTGTAAAATATAATTGTAAACTAAGTGTGGAGGTTTGGAAAAAATCATCTAGAAACACAGAGCAGATTATATAAAGTAAGAGGCAGTGAAGTATAAAAAAATAAGGTGAGAAAAAGAGAGGCTGAGAAAGGACAGAGTCAGAAAAATGGGACTGTAACCAGATTCCAGAAGAATTTAGAGAAATGACACCATTTTGGGTATCAGGAGATCCCACTGACTGAGAGTGCAGCCAGCCTCCCCATGGCTCTACTTAGGGTCTTCTGTGAGAACTGGAACTGTGGACTAAGAGGGTCTACAACCCCCCACCCCTCACCCTCCAGGCTGTCAGGGAGTTCAACAAATCCTCATGCCATTCAATACTGAGTGCTCATGTATTGAATACTTCATCTGCAGCAGTCCCCATGCTGGAGAGAGTAGTGCCTGAGACAGGACAAACCTGGACCATTGGTTCTAACCAGTTGTGAGCATCAGAGACCCTGTTTACAATTCCAAGCTTTACGCTGCATGTTCACGCTGATTCAGTAGCTCCAGGAGCTCTGGAATAGGGGTTTTCTGCAGCCATCTTGGGACAGCCTTGTAACAGGCAATCCATTAGTCTTTGAGAAGCACTGCTGAAGGGACTGAACAGAGGAGGGAATTGAGGAGGCAACCAGGAGAACTTCCAAAGCCTGACTCTCTCCTCCCTGCCCCCAGTGCCCCTGTCCTACCCTCAGACCCTACAAAAGCTGAAGGTTCCCATCATCAACTCGGAAATCTGTGGTCGCCTGTACTGGCGGGGAGCCGGGCAGGAAGCCATCACTGAGGACATGCTGTGTGCCGGCTACCTAGAGGGGGAACGGGATGCCTGTCTGGTGAGCACCCCTCTCATTCCCAGCCCTGCCCCCCGAGCTTCCTCGTGGCTGGCTGGGCCTCTCCTGGAATCAGCTTTGACCTGCAGTGCCCCCAGATGCCCATACAACAGGCCTCCACTGGGTTCAGTCACTCATCCATCTGTTCATACATCCAACACATACTGAGCGCCTCAGGTGTCCAGATCCCACTCTCAGGATCTCAAGCTTGCACTCTCCTGAGGTGGGGATCCTACATCCTCCACCACAGCCCTGTCACTTTGGTGGATGGCAGGATAGTGTTGTGGTCAATGCCTGGACTTGGATATTGTAAGACCTGATTATAATTCCTAATCTGCTGTCCCTGGTTGCCAGCTTGGGCAGGTCTTTTCTTCTTTCTGAGCCTCAGTTTCCCCATCTGTGAAACAAGTAACAATACTCTTTGCCTCACCTGTGAGGAAGGACGTCTCACACAGAGTGTCTGTCACCAGAAGTGGATCCAAAAGGCATCCTACCTGGCTCCCCCCTCCCCCGCCTGGATGGAGTTCAGGTGTGGCTGCCTCCAGGATGGAGAAATGCCTCTCCCCTAACAAAGGGAACCGTCTACCACCCACTGCCTTGCGTGAGTCCCTAACATGCTCTCCTCTCCGTAGGGCGACTCCGGAGGTCCTCTGATGTGCCAGGTCGAGGGTACCTGGCTGCTGGCAGGCATCATCAGCTGGGGCGAGGGCTGTGCGGAGCGCAACCGGCCCGGCGTCTACACCAGCATGATCGCCCATCGCTCTTGGGTGCAGAGGATCGTGGAAGGGGTTCAGCTCCGCGGACACTCTTACGGAAGCGGGCCGTCGGGGTTAAGAATCCGGGGATACAGGGCGGCCCGGGGCACCCCAGCGGCCTAAACAGGTGCACTTTCCTCAGTTGTACATAAGCCGTCTACCTCTGGAGGGCGCCCGCGTGCCGGCTCAGGGTGGCTTCTGCTGGAAGACCCCGCCCTCACCCCGCCCCCTGGACTTAGGCTCCACACCTGGGGCCTTGAGTCCCTTTGTGTATATATATACGTGCATGATTTTTACAGTTATTTGTAAGCCCGCCTGCACATTTTATTTATTCTCCAAAATTTCAATAAATTATTCTTCAGGTCCTTTTTCCCTGCTTGTATGGGGCCATTGGGAAGCAGGGATCCAGCTAGGGGTTAAAATGGGGGCAGCTGGAGTCCTGTCCACCTGGGATTCAACATCCTGGCCCCTGACCTTTGCATTGTCCTTCCATGGAGAAGAGGCCGGAGACCCAGCTCTGCTACATGATAGGTACCCAAGGGCGCAGGGGGCCGCAAAGCCCTGCCTGTTGGGCTTTCGAAACAGGGCTTGGTGGGAGAAACCACCCCCATGAGAGTGGGCTGTCCCCTCGCCTCCTCCTGCGCTCAGCGGCCTGTCTCCTGGATTTGAGCTGAGGCAGCCAGGCCTCCACAGCCCCAGAAGCTGACTCACTGGTGACTCACAGGTGATTCTGTGGTCTCCCGTGGTTGAAGGAGCACAACAATGAGACAGCAGGACTCTAAGCCCTGCCTCCTCTTGGGCTTGAGTCACCTGCCGGCACCCACAGAGGTGGGGTAAGAGCAATGTCCCAGGCCATAAGGAGTCTCCCGGCTTCCTGCCCTGCGGGAGTCCTATGTAACACTCCTGTTCCCTTAGGATGGCCTTTCCCACCATCCGCTCCTCTGCAGCTAGGCCTCTGGCCTCCTAGACCAGCCCTGTCCCTCCTTCCCACCACACCCCCCACATCAGGAACCCTGTCCTAGTCCCCCTGGGCTCCCCTGAAATATTTAATGCAAAAGAGATTCATTCTAAAGCAATGTCAAGGAAGAAACTAGATCCAATCATGCTAAGAGAGAAGTGTCTCCAACCAGAACCAGTCAGTGAAGTGAGCTTTTGAGAAGGGAGTACGGATTTTTGCTTGTTGTTCAGTATCCTTTATGGGGGGTGCTGTTCTAAAATATTTGTTCCTGTTGTTTTGATTACCTTTAGGTTATTACCAGATCACAGTAAATGCTGTGGGGTTGGTTTTATTAAAATAAATAAACAAGTGATAAAGTGGCCTCCTGCTCACCTGGAGCCGGCCTAGGGAGTGAGCGGGTGGCTCAGGTGGGAGCTGAATCCCAGGCCTCCCCTTTGTGACCCAGTCTTCTCTTTACCAGTCACTGTGCCTTTACGGTCTCCTTACCCTCCTCCCTTGCCTTAGTCCCCCCGCATCATTTGCTGCCCCTGCCCCTTCTTCAGTCTCCCCTTCTGCCCTGCTCCTCGCTCCCCCAACTTCTGTCACTAAGCACACCTTCCCTCATTTCTTCTCCTTCTCCTGGCCTCCCTCCTCTGTCCTCCTCTCTATCCCTCAGTTTCTTCCATGCCTGTTAGTCTCTGACCCACTCTCTCCTTCCCCTTCAATAAACACATGAGCCCCTTCAAGCGGCATCCTGACAGAAGCCCTTGAGAAAGGGATGCCTAGAAACCTCTGCCAGGGTAGAGAAGTTGCCCCATCAATGGCCCATCAATGGTGGGTTTTCTCTGAGTCGGGCGACCAGCCTCCAGGAAGCCCCGAGCCCAAGGACACCCTTCTGCCCATCTCAAGGAACCCGAAGGACAAGCTGGGCCTGGAGGGGGCAGCCGGCACCTGGCTCCAAAGTTTGACAGGATTTCCAATGACTTCCCCTTCCCAATCAGGGTGGGGGTCCCGGAGGTGGAAATGGAGTCAGCCCAGCCCCGGCAGGATCCACGGCAGGGTCACAGAGGAGCCGTTTGCTCCTTGGTTGGAGGCAGGCCCAGGAATGCCCCAAATCTAGACCTCTCTGGGTGGGTCCTCCCTGCTTTGGTTCCACAGACACCACCTGCCTCTGGAGGCTGCAGACAAGGCCCTTGGGCCGTCCAACTGTCTCCTCCAGAGAAGTCTCCTCCAGTGGGAATGGGGTCAATATGCCCATTCGGACAGATGACTCCACTCACCAGAACAGCCTTTTGTAGAGTCCTAACCTCCCCAAAGGCAGGGGTGGAGACCATCAGGCCGCAGTGACAAACGTCATTGTATTAGGAACTGCCTTAGCTTTAGGTGGTGAGACCAGGCTATTGCTCCTTCACACATTCCACTCCTTCCTCAAACCTTTGACCGTCTAGGGGGCTTTCCCTCCCAAGCCTGCAACCTCCCAACTCTTTTCCACTCTGCATTCAGAACAAATGTGAAAACACACATTTAACCCCACAACATCGCCCTAGGTGGCAGACTTCTTTGGTTAGCTAAACCAACACCCTTTCCAATCCCTGTCCTTTGCTTCCTCCACCTTAGAGACAGGAAGAGCTAAACACTCCCTCCCATAATCTCCGGAGCGGTGACAAGGGCCCACGGGAGTGAGCATTGGCCAATGAGATGGAAACAGGTGTCTGATGGTTTCTTGGGAAGACTGTTTTTCCTGATAAAAAGGACATTATCTTTTGCTCCCCTTCCTCCTTCTTATAGTTAAGAATGTAGGGGAAGAAGCCAAACTCAAGATACTGCATGATTCCATTTATATGACATTGTGGAAAGGGTAAAACTGCCAGGACAGAGAGAAGATGGGTGGCTGCCAGGGGCTGGGATGTGGGGGAGGCCTGACCGCAGAGGGGCATGGGGCAATTTTTGGAGTGATGGAACTGGCTCTTTATCTTGATTTAGGTGGTAGTTACATAACTGGATTCATTTATCAAAACTTATTCACTGAAAATGGTGAATATTACTGTATGTAAACTACTTCTTCATAAACCTGATTTTTACAAAAACCCACACAAAAATGGGAAGTCTTCCTTGGCTCCTCTCTTTCTCTCATTCTCTAAATTCAAACCATCTGCGTATCCTATTGGTTCTATTCTATCTTCAAATTATGTCCAATTCTGGCCACTTGTCCCCAGGCTGGCCCAAGCCGCTCTTCTCTTTACCCTGGATTTCTATAAGGGCCTCCTTCCTGGTCCCTCTGCCCCTCCCGTTGCTCCCACCAGTCCCTTCTCAGCACGGCAGCGGCAGCGGCAGCTGGAGTGGTTCTCTCAAAACCTAAGTCATATCCTGTCATTCTTCTCTTCAAAACCTTCTGATGGCTCCTTACTTTACTCAGAGGAAATGACGTCATCTTTCCGGCCTCCCTTCTCACCTCTCCCCTCCTTGCTCCCGTGCTCCCTCCAGCTGCGCTGGCTTCCAGCTGTGTTCTGGAACACAATAGGCATGCTCCTGCCTTAGGGCCTTTGCATGTGCAGTTTCCTCTTCCCCCACATGACTGCATGGCTCACTCCCTCACTTCCTACAGGTAGCCCTCGAATCTCACCATGTCACTCACCATCCTGTTTTTAAGAACAGTGTCCTCCTCCCCCCTTGCTTCTGTCCCGGCTTTCTCTTTTTCCAGGACACTGATTACTATGTAACATATATTTTACCTGTTCTTTGTTTATTGTCCCCTCCACCCGAACACACACAATTAGAAGCTAAGCCTTTGTCCCCGTATTTGTCATATTCTGTTTTCACTGTTTACTAGACTATCTCACCCAAGAACTATTTTGAGTTTGTTGAAGGTTAGATCTTTATTTTATCCATTTGGTATAGTCAGTGTCCAGAAAAAGGGCCGGGAAAAATAGCAAATGTTATAAATGTTTCATGAGTCAATGGTAAGGAGTATGACTTATTCCGTCAGTATGGTGGACAATGTAGACATATCTCCTTTGTTTCTCTAATGAATCACTCGAGCACCACATTCTCGCATCAGCAGGAGTTCATTCTCTCTTAAGACTGCCCTACTCTGTCCATAAGTTGTCCAAGAGTTCTAGGTTTACACAGTTCAAAGAGACTAGTCCTGTGAGAACTGGAAAGTGCAGCAATCCTCCAATTTAGTTCCGTTCCTGGAGTCAAGGTCAGGTGGTGATGCTGGGGAACAAGAGCCCCCGCAGCCTGACAAACCAGCCCCTGCCTCCATTCCCATGCCCTGGTGATGCTGTTGCTCATCTAGGTCACTGCCAGCCCTGCCCTGGTGTCCTACATGTGGGACCTAAGGTCGCAAGTCTTGAAGGTCATACTCACGGCCCAGTCATCATTTTCCAGAGCAGAGTGCCTGAGTGGCCATGTCCAAAGGGATTCTACCTCAGCCACATACTGTGCTCGATACCTCAGATACTTGTGTTCACCCTGGGTCACTTGGAGTTTACTTCCTGTTAATGGGCCCGGTGGAACTACCCCAATTTTTCAGGGAAATACTAATATCAAACCTCACTAAATTCGAATTTCATGACAGGTCTCCTAACTGTATTCAATTCTGCTATTTTATGATCTTTTTTTTTAATCCTCACCTGAGGACATGCTTATTGATTTTAGACAGAGGGAAAGGGAGGGAAGGAGAGGGGGAGAGAAACATCGATGCAAAAGAGAAATATCAATTGGTTGCCTCTCGCACACACTCTGACCGGGGACCGAACTCACAACCTAGGCATATGCCCTGACCAGGAATTGAACCCATGACTTTTCAGTTTTAGGGAATGATGCTCCAACCATCTGAGCCACACTAGTCAGGGCTATTTTATACTTTATTCCCTACTGGGTTTTACTCCCATTTCTTGCTTTTTTCTTCCTGTTGGTAGATTTTGCATTCAACCCTTTTAGTTGTTTGAAATTTCCCTTGTATGAGTAACATCTTTTAAATTTCCTGTTCTGTTATGATATGGGCTCCAGGAAATGCTACGGATATTTACCTGTGCTGGCACTGTTTGTCACCCAGCCTGTGTATCATGGTGCGTAGCCAAGAGATACTGCGTTTAATCCACATACCAGGAAGTAGTGACCATTTCACTGGGGACCCCATGAAAGGGTAAGGACAGAATTCCTTTTAGTCTTGCTCCTTGGC